CCTGTTTAGTCTGATTTTTAAGTATTTTAATTATGAGGACACGAGGTATTGTAATACCTAGGACATACACATGTCATTTTACAAACATGTCCTCCTAAAGCACATGAAGCAGCACAAACACAGACACATTGCTTTGGATAATAATTAAACATTAAAAGAGCTCTGCAATGTTTCAAAATATTGATGATATTTATATTTAATATAGTTAATATTTAGATTATATTTACCAATTAAAACCAACAATTGTAATATTTATTATTTACATAATTAAAAACTAATACCACTATAGGTCATATTTTCTTAATTTTACAGATTGTTCATAGGGTGTGAGCTATAAAAAAAATACATATAAATATATATATATATATATATATATATATATATATATATATATATATATATATATGTATATATATATATATATAAAATAATTATCTTTTATATAACAAAATGTATATGTACACCAATGTACACTAATTGTTGTTATTAAACAAAGTTAATCATGTACTATTCATGAGTTCAGTGGACTCATAAGGTTAATTTGATTCAGCTTAAAAATTTAAGGCAGCCGAGATCATTTTTTACAGTGTATAAAAACTATTTTCATTAGAAGAGGCTAGTACAATTGGCAAATAAACACTGAAATAAACACAATTTTTATGTAGAAAATCTCAAATTTAGTAAAAAAAACTTTTTTAGCTACTTCACTGTTCAATTACACTGCGTTTTACATGTAATTTTAACATGGGATTGCATGCCAAATATGTTTTTTTATGTTGATTTACCTAAAATAAGTTAACTATGTTTTAACTTAATTGAAGTCAGTTAATGTATTATGTATAGACTTTTTTAGCATGTTTGTATTTGTTTATGCATGCATATTAAAGGGGTGATCTACAACGGTATCATATTTCAAACTTTAGTTGATGTGTAATGTAGCTGTGTGAACATAAACAACATCTCTAAATGTAAGATCCTCAAAGTTTAATGCAAAGGAAGACATTGGCTATTACAGAGTTAACTCAGCAAAGCCTACAGCGAACAAAGTTTGGGGACTACAAAAAAATACAACCGAGTTATTAATGTCATAAATCCTTCTGGTTACGATCATACGCTCTGCACAGTAAAGAGGCGTGGCTGTATATGCTGGAATGTTGTAGCAGAGACGCTTGGTGGCATGGAGCTGATTTGTGAATCACAGCACATTAGCACGTTAGCTGACTAATCAGAGCCTCTTGAGGGCGGGCTTTTGGAAAAACTAGGAAATATGATTGTCGTTTTCATGTTAGCTGAGTATCATTAAAGTAAGATATATGGAAAACAGGCATGATTTTTCACAAGGGAAGCATGAGCACACATTGCTTTGCATCTTATAAACACAACCAAGCCTTAAAAATACACTCTGGACCACCACTTTAGAGTGTATCATGCATGCCACGTTTGTTTTGCATTCTCCAATTAACTCGCTTCCTTTACTAATTCTCCAGTGCAACCTCTGAATTCCTCTACGGACTCCAGTCAGCAGTGGATCAGAGCTGCTTTCCACAAGAACTCGCGCGTCAGATCTGCAACAAACCTTCAACATGCCAAACTGCAAATCAAGAGGCCGCACGTGCACAGAACAGCACACGGCCAGCCGTGGCTATCAAAGGACATTGTGGTCAGAATACACAAACCCCCTGCTTTTCATACTGACACGATACTTCACACCAGAGACTCGATTTCTCGGGAAGTCAGTCTGGATTTAACTTCTGCGGTGCAGAATTGGCTCAAAGACACAAGTGCTGAGCTTTTAGTTGTGGAAATTTGCCTCCTCAGAAAACAAGAAGTGAGCACACATTCCACGCCTCGCTTTATTTTACAACTCGACCAAACAGTGAGGAGAAACAAGAGAGCTTTGTCTACCAGAGAAGAAAGCGTCGAGGATGAAGGACACTGCAGGCGCAATTCATTGAACGTTTCCTTTAAAGAAATTGGCTGGTCAGACTGGATTATCGCTCCCTCCGGCTACACCATGCACTACTGTGATGGATCCTGTCCTCATAATTATAAACCTGCTAGTATGCATACTCAGGTTAAGTCGCGTTTGCATCTCATGTCCAAAGGAATAACACACGGGCCCTGCTGTGTACCGGCTGCCTATGAGCCGATGGTTCTTATGCACTACGACAGCCGTGGAAAGTTGAAGTTGACACCTTTTAATGATTTGATAGTTAATAAATGCCACTGTGCATGAAACCGCCACATGTGCAGGGCATTAACTTGTGAACTGAAAGTGAGTCTCGAACATTCTTACACTCATTTGGTTACATTCCTTTGCTTTATTATGCATAGTTTGGAAAACAAATGACACCTGCTTTTAAGCGAACACTGAGGTGTTTAATGTGTATTTCATATGACTGACATGAGGTAAACTGCAATGTCAGACTATTTATTTTAATTTATTTGAAATGTTTTGTACCGTTCTCGCTTGTTTGTCATTGTGCTGAACTGAGGAAATGTTTTGTGTTTGTGAATGATTGTTAATAAAGGTCATTTGTGTTTTTAGTATGGATGTGTAATGAAAATGAGTGAATTGTTTCACCAGTGTTATTTTAGTATGAATTAAATATTGTCGTTTTTTTTTAACAGTTTGAACTAGTTTTTAATTTTATGTTTATATTTAAAGGGCGTCTATGATGACAATTAACTTTTGTAAGCTGTTTGGACAGAACTGTGTGTGTTCACTGTCATATTGGAGTGATATAAACACAGCAGGTCTCTCTCTCTTTTTAAAATTTCCTGACATTAAAACAGGATCAAATCCCAGGGACTTTGAGGCCCATCGCAATGTGATGCCCACTGATTTGATTGACAGGTGCCATGTCTCCATAAAATCATGTATACATATGTCCACAGAACATTTTTTTGCAAATCAACTGGGATTAAAATATTTGTTCCAACTCTATGTGATTTTTATATGTTTTATAAGATTCAAACTTTTTTAAAACAGAGCATGTTTGTAATAAAGACAGTAAAATCATTATCTAATTCATAACCACTATAATTATCACAGCTGCATGGTGTCAGTAAGCACGCATATGTGTTTATTTGTACTGCAAATGGCATTTGTGTGTGACTCATCATTTCAGAAAGGCTTGAATAAATTAGACCACAAATACATCAAATAAACTTTCTTGGTATTTTTGACTAATAAGCTGTATTTCAGCTTCATCTGTGTCTGTCTCTATCACTGACTGCTGTTTATCTGACGTAACGCATGATGAGAAGCAAATATGCATACCGCAATTAAATTGCATTGAAAGCCACAGGCCACAAAAACAGCTACACAGACATCAAAATTGGCAGATTCTGGAGGCTAATAATGGGTATTTTGAGATGAAACTTTACAGACACATTTCTGGAGACATCAAAGGCATATCTTACATCTTGTAAAAGGAGTAAAATAGGTGCCGGTTAAAGAAATTGAATAACTGTCTTTATTTTACTTGTAAGTTTCATTTTTGAAAAAAAATATATAGCACATTTATTAGACTTTTAATAGACTTGATTATTGTTATACTGTAAACAAACTGTATATTTTACAATCCAACTTATATCCTTCATAACAATCTGCATTTTAGATTTTCAAAATACTTCATTCTGTGTGATTAATGAGCTGTTTTTCTCATAGGGACCAAAACTGTCCCCACAAGGTCAAAAAGTACTGGTATTATTATACATTTATGGACAGTTGGCCTTAAACGTAAGGAATACAAAGTACACACAGATAAAATATAGACAAATACACTCACTAGCCACTTCATTAGGGACACCTGTCTAACTGCTCGTGAATGCAAATTTCTAATAAGACAATCACATAGCCAATAACTCAGTGCATTTAGGCATGTAGACATGGTTAAGATGATCTGCTGCAGTTCAAACTGAGCATTAGAATGGGGAAGAAAGGTGATGTAAGTGACTTTAAACATGGCATGGTTGTTAGTGACAGACTGGCTGGTCTGAGTATTTCAGAAACTACTAATCTACTGGGATTGTCATGCACAACCATCTCTAGGGTTTATAGAAAATGGCCAGAAAAAGAGAAAATATCTAGTGAGCGGCAGTTCTGTGAGTGCAATGCCTTGTTGATGTCAGAGGAGAATGGCCAGACTGGTTCAAGCTGATAGATAGGCAACAGGAACTCAAATAACCACTCGTTACAACCAAGGTATGCAGAAGAGCATCTCTAAACGCACAACATGTCCAACCTTGAGGCAGATGGGCTACAGCATCAGAAGACCACACCAGGTGCCACTGCTGTCACTGCTGTGCCACTGGTGTCAGCTAAGAACAGAAAAGGCTACAATTGGCACAGGCTTAGCAAAATTGGACAATAGAATGTTAGAAAAAGTTGCCTGGTCTTATGAGTCTCGATTTATTCTCTGACATTCAGATGGTAGAGTCAGAATTTAGCATCAACACCATGAAAGCATGGATCCATCTTGCCTTATGTCAAAAGTTCATGCTGGTTATGGTGTAATGTTGTGAGGGATATTTTCGTGGCACACTTTGGGCCCATTAGAACCAGTTGAGCATCGTGTCAACATCACAGCCTACCTGACGATTGTTGCTGACCATGTCCCTTTATAACCACAGTGTACCCATCTTCTGATGGCTACTTCCAGCAGGATAACACGCCATGCCATAAAGCTTGAATCACCTCAGACTGGTTTCTTCAACATGACAATGAGTTCACTGTACTGAAAAGGCCTCCACAGTCACCAGCCCTCAATCCAGTAGAGCACCTTTGAGATGTGGTGGAATGGGAAATTCGCATCATGCAGATGACAAATCTGCAGCAACTGCGTGATGCTATCATGTCAAAATGGACCAAAACCTCTAAGGAATATTTCCAGTATCTTGTTGAATCTATGCCATGAAGGATTAAGGCAGTTCTGAAGGCAAAAGTGTGTCCAACCCGGCACTAGTAAAGTGTACCTAATAAAGTGCCTGGTGAGTGTCTATGTGTGTTGTCTAATAAAGATGTTTATAAAAATGTGTTCAATAAAGATGATTCATCTGTTCTGAAGATGTAACTAATGCCCTTATAATACTTTCTGTGATATCAAGGTTAAGCTGTTGTTGTTAAACGCTTTGAATACACATTTAAATTACCATCTTGTGCTATTAAATTGTAAAAAATAGATGGTGTGAGTGAGTCATCCATATTACTCATTCAGATCATATGACCAATAAAATGAATTCACGCATACCTAACCGTAGATGTTCAAATCACTGTCTTTTACCTTAATATTTTACAGCATCCATCCAGAGATAATATTTCAAGGTAAGGTCATGCCATAAAAGACATTCATCCATGACATCCAATTTTCCATATTTATCCATAAAGATAGGCCAGATCTGTAGCCTTGAAAACACACATATGTGTCATTGGCCTTGACTAGAGGGTGAATGATCTCTGAATCAAACACAGCCGAAGTACAAGTTCATTTGTGACTCAGTATTTACGTAATACTTTGTAACTGGCGGCATTGTAGTACATAAAATATTGTTATGTTTTTGATTTTGCTGTGGTAAATATTTTTAGATACATTATGTGCTGTATTGTTTTGACAATGTAATCATTTTATAGATAATAATTACAATCACAATGTCAATAATGTTCATAATTTAATTATTTCACATAATCGTTACAGCAACAATGTACTCTAACTTCTGTCCATAAATGTTTATTGTCTTTTTGATTTTGCTGTAGTAAACATTTTTTATCTGCCGAATTGTTTTGATTATGTTATCATTTCATAAATAATGATAACAGTAATAATCATACTTATCATAAAGTAAACATAAAGTGATAAAGAAGTAGACTTCTGTGTACTTCTAATGAATTTAATTTTATTTTAAGACAAATAAACGACTTATGCAACAACTAAACTTTTAGTAGGTTTAAATGTTTGGATCAAGTATAAGAAAATCTGGTGTAAACAAGAATTGCTCTCTGCTTCTGAAGAATGTGGAAACAATAGGATTAATGAAAATAAATCTACCAGTATTTCTGGGTGTGTCTGACATAGATTAGATTATGTGTGTCAGTGTCTGAAGCTAATGAATGCCTACAGCAGCAGAAACCTAAAGGTTTTGCTGCCATTTCTTATCTGTCTGTATTTAAGAGAACTTTTTTATTTTATATAACATAGAGTGACAGCTGATCAATAAGCTCATAGTTTGACAAATATTGCAGCTGTTGGACAACATAATTCACTTTGGAGGCTTTTTTAGGCGAGAATGTAGTTGTTTAGATTGTTGCTATGCAGTTTATTTATAAGGATAGTGCTTATTTTTAATAAAATTTCTGAGATACAGCGCATCAGCATCCATCAGCCTGTCATTTAGCAGAGCAAAGATGGTTGAAGATGTCCATCCACAATTTTACAACAGAGACCACATAATAAGTCCTTAGAGGAGAAAGGATCAGCGTATTTTCAAACTACAGCTGATCAAATCATTTTAAAATTGGTGAGTGATATTCTAAGTCGACCTTTTTTTTCAATCATTTGAGTTCTGTCAACTTAAACTATTTGCCGCAATAAATTTCCTTAAACCGTTTGGGTAGCTTTACAGTTGTTCGTGTTCAATTAATTTTATTTAACTGAACCCATACATATTTGACAACTGAACTTAAAATGTTTAAGTTACTAACAGATGATGATATTGTTCTGTTGGACCTTCAGAATGCACTGGGGCTGTTTGCTGCTGAGTGTGACGCGGCTGGGATGAGAATCAGCACCTCCAAATCTGAGGCCATGGTGCTACACAGGAAAAAGATGGTTTGCCATTTCCAGGTTGGAAGAAAGTCCTTAAGTGGAGGAGTTTAAGTATATCTGGGTTTTGTTCACGAGTGAGGGAAGTATGAAATGTAAGATTGACAGGCGGATTGGTGCAGTGGCAGCAGTAATAGGGTCAATCAGGCACGTGCACACATAGAGGTCAACCTGTGCAGTGCACATGCCCTTTTTAGTCTTGGATAGAAAGTACCCTTCCAAAATGATCTGAAGCCCCCCCCCCATCTGTTTTGGATGCCTCGTGGACGCCTACCTAGGGAGGTGTTCAAGGCATGTCCCACCGAAAGGAGGCCTCGGGGAAGACGGGGCCCTCGGGGAAGAGATATATATATCGTTCATTTTCTTGTCAGCTTAGTCCCTTTATTAATCCGGGGTCGCCACAGCAGAATGAACCACCAACTTATCCAGCAAGTTTTTTTACACAGCAGATGCCCTTCCAGCCACAACCCATCTCTGGGAAACATCCACACACACACATTAACACGAACACTACGGACAATGTAGCCTACCCAATTCACCTGTACCGCATGTCTTTGGACTGTGGGGGAAACCAAAGCCCCCGGAGGAAACACAAACGCAGGGAGTACATGCAAACTCCACACAGAAATGCCAACTGAGCCGAGGTTTGAACCAGCGACCCAGCGACCTTTTTGCTGTGAGGCGACAGCACTACCTACTGCGCCACTGCTTCACCCCATATATACATTTTGCCGCAACCGGTTTCCTCAAACGTTTGAGTTAAGTTGACTTGTCAGGTTTTACAGTTTGTATATACCACAAGAAAGTATATACCACAATATTTTTCCTCATAAATAACACTATGCTCTAATACACAATGCATTTAACTCCAAAGAACAAATGCAACACATTTTTGCTACTAGTTCTAAAATAATGTTTTTAATCAGCTTTTGTTTTATGAAACGGTCAGCTTAATACTTGAATCTACAGGGGAAGGAAATACTTCCTCACACTAAGGTATTGTACCATCTAACAGTTGTATTAGCTCAATATGTATCCATGTGATACATGGCGTGTGTGATATTGCTCATGTGTCATATTTCATATTGGCCCTATTAATAAAACTATTTCATGAACTATTGATATCAGCCTAAGTGTAATAACACTATAAAACCCAACAGTCAACTTTATAAAACGAAATGTCAACTCCGAATGTACTGAAAGTTAATTCATTTCAGAATAATGTTTATTGTAAATTTGTTACTGTCAGAATGTTTTACTGTTTAAAGATTTTAAGACATTTGTAGTTGCAGGAGAAGCTTGGCAGGCATGGCATGTTTACTGTAAACTTTATTCATTTTTACCTGTTGGACATTTAAGGTAAAGTTACCTGTTAGACATTTCTTGCTTAAAAATAAATGTTAAAAAAATGGTATTGTGTGTTTGAAATTACAGCTGCATTTTCTTATTTTTATGGGTTTTTTCAGATTAACAATATCGATAATTTATTTGTGAAACTCAAAATGAAATAGCTAATTTAATGATAATAATATTATAATAATTTCTATCAAAATGTATGAGCTGGATGACTAAGTATTTAAAGTTGGAAAAAATTAAAAGAATTATGTTAATTTCTATTAAAATGTATGGGCAGGGTAACTGTATTTAAAGTTGGAAAAAATTTAAACATTTAAGTTAATTGCTGTTTAAATAGATGAGCTGGGTAACTCCATATTTAAAGTTGGGAGAAATTAAAACATTTAAGTTAATTGCTGTTAAAATAGATGAGCTGGGTAACTCCATATTTAAAGTTGGGAGAAATTAAAACATTTAAGTTAATTGCTATTGAAATGTATGAGCTGGGTAAACTGTGTATTTTAAGTTAGGAGAAAGTACCTTGGATGAGTTTACCAAACTCAAAACTTGATGTTTCTGCTTACTTAAAATAGAAAATTTCAAAACTTAAAAAATTTGATGTAACTGATTACCTCAAATTTTTTGAGTTTTGTCAACTTATTCAGGTTTACAGTGCAACAGTTGTATTAGCTCAATATGTATCCATGTGATACATGGCGTGTGTGATATTGCTTATGTGTCATATTTCATATTGGCCCTATTAATAAAACTATTTCATGAACTATTGATATCAGCCTAAGTGTAATAACACTATAAAACCCAACAGTCAACTTTATGAAATGAAATGTCAACTCCGAATGTACTGAAAGTTAATTCTACTTATTTGAAAAGAGTGTTGAACTCAGTGTTGAAGGTAATGAGATAATTAAATACCTCATTACTTCAACTTAAGTAAAGTAAGTTTACAGTACTCATATAGATTTAGTTTTTTAACTCAAATGGTTTATACCAATCAGTTTACTCAAACGGTTTGAGTTGCCTTAACTTATTGAGCTTTACAGTACTCAATTGGTTTGAGTTCTCTTCATTTTTTTGGGTTTTACTGTGCACAAATTTCTTTGTTTATTCAAATAGATTAAGTTCACAGTACTCATTAGAATCAGTTATAAATGGTTTGAGTTACCTTAACTTATTAGGTTTTACAGTGTAGTATTAAAGCCCCATCAAAAAAGTTATTCTCATGCAGGAGATAAGCTGATGTAAATGCTTTTTGTATTAAAAAATAAATTGCATGACACATAACAACTTGTTTTCTTATTCCAGCAGGAGTTTTTGATGATTTGTAACTCAGCACTTCAGTACAAATCAGCAACTTCATTAAAAATTATATATATGACTTTATTAATACTTCTATTCTGTGATAACCATTTTAGAAAGACAATATGGTACTCAACGTTATTCTGTATTGGGTTTTATGTATAATGCCTCGTATACATGAAACGTTTAAAGACATTTTAAATAGATAACAAGTTTTATAATTATACAGGAAATGCTGAGACATCCACAAATTTACAAATCCTTTCTTTGGAAAATGATGGCTACTTGACATGAATGATTATTCAAACTTTCTCCTTCAGCCTTGTTTGTCAACATGTTAGATAAACTAATCGCTGACTGACAAGGATGACAGGCATATTTCATAAATCAAATGTTTGTCAGGAAGAATAATAAGATATAAGATGTGGTGGAATGATTCTCACACACGAGCCTTATTTTTGAGGCCTTCTGGAGGCAGTGCTGCCATCTAAAATATACAGTTCACCAAAAAATGAACATTTACTGTTAACTTACTTAAGATTTAGCTGACTTCTTCCTCAGGTTAACATTAAAGTGGATTGTTAGCAAAAATGTGGTTATTTTTGAATCTGTTTTATTCATAACATAACACCATTTTTGAGGCTTCTGATTATTCTTCGAGATCTAAAGGAAGTAAAGCAAATTGACTATAACAAAAAAACTGAGCATTATTTACATCATTGTTGTACATTCAACAATATTATACAACATTATGCAATACTCATGCGGATGTGGATTAATAATAATGTTTAGTGTTTGCTCAAATCAAGCATTTTGCTTCATAAGACCTCCATGTAGCAATGACAGCATTAACTCACATTTCATTAATCACAAAGGACCACAATTTTACATTCTACTGAAGGAAATTCATCCACATTTTTAACGGCGTGAGTACATTGCAGCAAATTTTCATTTTTGGTTGAACTGTCCCTTTAATGGGACTGACTCAGCATAATGTTTCTGATGCAATTCTAATGTAATTTGGAAGAATAGCCTTCTCATGACTACTGAGGTAAATTAAAGTTCATTTAATGTGATCAACAATCTCATTGATCTAAGATTGGGAAATGACACAGTGACTTGTTAACAGGATATGCAGCAACTGAAAAAAACCTACATTTCAGAGAAATGTTTATGATTAGGTCAAGCTTTCTCCGTCTCTCACTGAGACATTCTGACACCGAACTGCCAAATGAGCTGACCTACTGTCTAATGTTCCACTTCTTTCGTTTAGTCATCTCAGCTAATTTGTAGCTAAAGAAAGCCGATTTCAATGAGTCACAGTGACATAAAAATAAAAAGACACAGTCTGGATGATTATTAAAGTCAACTAATAAATTTAAAAGCATGAGAAAAAAGATTCTTATGAAATATGTGGCGTGTTACACAACGTGGACACTCTCTACCATTACTGCAATTTGGGCTTAGTGGGTTTTGAATGTTTGTGGACCGATGTTGATCATTAATACAGCAAAAACTGTACTTCTGTGAAATAATATTACATTTCTTTTTCCACATAATCCTTTGGAGATCACTCTATGCTGATTTTGAGCTCAAGAAACATTTCTTATTACTGTTAATAATAAAATAGTCGTAATGCATTTTGTTGTTGAAGAAACTGTAACAGATTTACGTAAGAAACTGTGTTTGAAAATATAGACAAGCATTTCTAGAGGAAAACACTATGTTGGTCAACCAAGCCAGCATAAACCAGTCTGTACCAGCATGAAATGGACAGAGACACCTGTTAAACTGTGATCAGTCAGGTCATGATTATGTTTTGCTGTCTCACTGAGTTCAGTCAATACAGAAAAGGTTGGTTGATGTAATGTTTGTGAGGGCATTCCAATCACTCAGTTCAAAATGATATGTTGGAAAAAATGTTTTCTTACTCTTCAACGTTTTAAGGCCTTTAAAATGACTTATATTAGAGCAGAAAATCTTACAAATGTTGCATGCACTGCAAAAAGCAACCACAAGATCAAAACATTGCTCTTCTGTTCCCATACAAATATCTAAAATTCCTTAAATCAAGATGCACTTTCTTGAGATGCAAAGTAAAGATATTAGGTCTTGTTTTTTATTAAATACAACGAAATTGAGTTAAGCAAGCAAAAACAAATATCGGTTATTGCAGTAGAAATGACTTGAGTTGACTTTCAGAGCCCATTGACAGATATTTGTTCTTGTTTTTACCATGAACTCTTTATCATTTCTATCGGTTTCACAGAAACTTTTTAGTAAATGTAGCGATTTAAGAATCTTTAGATGTTTGCATTGGAAAGATCAAGATCATAACTTGTTTTAGAGTTTGTTCAGATTGTACTTTAAAAGTTGGTTTTATATTTGGAGCACATTTATTCAAGGTTTAAACTATTTTATGTAAAATAAAGTAAAACTGAATGAATATCCAGAGTAAGTGGTTCTTTCAAACAAATCTTAATGGGAAAGTTCACCCACAACTGAATATTCTGTCATTCTTTACTTTTCTTTTACTGGTTCCAAACCTTTATGATTTTCTTTCTTCTGTTGAACACCAAAGAAGATGGTGTTTACAAACCTGTAACCACTGACATCCATAGTAGTGTATTTGTTTTCCAACAATGGAAGTCAATGGTTACCGGTTTCCAACAGTCTTCTTTTGTGTTTAACAGAAGAAATAAACTCATAAAGGGTTGAAACCACTTAAGGTTGAGTAAACAGCGAGTAAATGTTCCTTTTTTTGGTTGAACTACCCTATTAAAGTGTTTATAATACAACAGAAGAACGTCTACACCCTATACATTTCCATTCAGATAAAATGATATATGGGGTTTTTCCCTCTGAAACTAAAGACTTACTATTTCACATCATGCCAGCACAAATTTTTCTACTTTACATTTTAAGAAATAATACTGGACAGCAAGCAATGTCAGGCGTTCAAGCATCTGGCATGATGTAAACATCCTCCGAGATTTCTGTCTGATCTGGGTGGAAGAGGGCAGGATCGTTACTGTAGATTGCATCATGCGGATCACACTGCAGGTGCGCCTGGTGGACTCTGAATGGGGGCAAAAGTGAAAATCAGCTCATGAAAACCCACTAGCAGTTAACCCAACAAATGTTACAACAAAATAAAAACTCCTTTCAAGTAGCTCTCGCTGACAGTTACCACTATTGCCACACGTTAATGATGTCAGCGAGATCTTGCAAAACAGCCAGCAAATTAAACTTAGCGGGAATTTCCATTTGACTTCTAAGACTTTGCAGTTTTATCATCACCCAGTTTCTCAGTCTAAATTTGACTTTTGGGATACACAGGTATTTTGGGTTATTAATTTGATGTTCTGTTCACTTTAGTAACTTTGCTATTATGTAGACTTGACTGTTTGGTTTAGGTTATTAAAATAATGTTCTGGAGGGACCATCAAAACAAAGTGTTAGCAAGAGAGTCTCTTTAAACTGTATTAAATGTTTATTACTGACATTGATGGTTCCATGGAGAACCGACCTCCAAATAACATTGTTCTTTATAGAAAAAGTGTTCTTAATATTATAAATTGTCCTTCCACTATAAAAAATGTGTAACTAAATGGTTCATCCATTCAAAATATAACACTGTATAGCCAACACTGTTCTTGGTATCTTTATTTTTAAGAGTGTAATGGCTGCTGGATGTTTAACAGATGTATTACATTTTTTTTTCTTTTTGTCAATAAGATCTTTAAAGGGTACTATCAAAATAGCTTGTCCTTTACCTGTGCTTGTCCTCATGTTGTACGGCACTCCTCTGAAACTGATGCTGACTGGACTGTCCGCTCTGAAAGTTCTCATAGATTGGGCTCTGTGGTGTGGCTTGAGGCCCTCCGGCGTATCCACTGTACGGAGAATCCCTGGAATGATCCATGTGGCTGTTATCTTGGCTCTTAAGTTTATTAGATAACTCGACGTTAGAAACTGATTTTCTGCTTCGAAACCACAATAGTGCTGCTATCCCCGCCAGCAACAAGATTACAAAGAATATAGGCAAGCCAACAGCAAGTCCAACAGAAGATTGGTTTTCAGGAGTGCAACTCTCTGTAGAATTAACTCCTGAGCAAGTGCGATTTACATCCATGATCTAAAAACGATTGATGAATTGTGTTATTGTAATCTACAGTGAAAGCAAACACTCAAAATAAAGTGACAATTATTTTAGTATCGTCATGTATGCTGAAATTTATCAAACAATTAAATGTTAATACAAATAATTAAAAAATAATATTTTGGTAACAGAAATATCCTTACCAAAATGTGTAGGTGAACTTATATCACCTATGTCCGTTTGACAGCTGGAAGAAATGGCCAAACTGTCGTTTGGTGTTTCTTTTTACAGAAAGCCATATAAAGTTCCTCTTTCAATTCAGAAGTCATGCAACCTGGAAATCCTCCCCCCCACACACACAATCATTCTTCCTGTTGTCTTGCTATAACAGTTATTCAGTTGTTCTGAAAATGAGGTTTGTGGGTTCATTTTAATATGAGCTATAAATGATATGCAAATATCTATTCATGAAATATGCCATTTGTTGCATACTTTTAATCCAGTGATGATCAAAAAGAGTTTCAGTAGTTCATCCAATATATGAACGCTGGTAACAGTGCCAGAATAGCTGAATGCGACTAAAAATGAATAGAGAAATGAAAGCTGCTTGACCAGATGAAGGCTTCAAACTGAAGTAGAAAAAAAGCTAAACTTGTGAAAGTAACCCAAATCTTCTTGGTTATGCTGATAGACATTTTATCCTCTGTTAAAAATAGGAACTAAGTTATGCTAGCATTGCAAGACCAGTAAACTCAATAATTATACCATTGCTCGCAGTTTTAAGGGGGACTACTGTACAATATGTATACGGTTTCAGAAAAGGGCAAAATAATATCCACATAATATAAACAAACAAATCAAATCAATCAAACAAGCAACAAATGGCGCCTGATCGATTGAGCTTATATCGCCCCCTGGTGTTGAAAATAGTGCACTTTCCTTCAAAATGATTGATATTTGTGTGATTATTTTAGGTTAAAATGTGAAAATGTGAAATTCACAGCAAGTCACTTGTTTAGTCACTTGTCAGTGGACTAGCATTTACATATTACATTTCCAGTAGCAGCTAGGAAAACCCCTAACTCAAATGCATAAGCCCCTTTCACACAGTGATACCGGTAAATATCCGGAAAATTTACGGAACGACTTTACCGGTTATATTCAAAAAAGCGCTGTTCACACAGGCGAGGACGTTACGGAAATTTTCCGGAAAAGAGCATTCACACATCCATTCCAAAATACCGGTAAATTCTGACATCATTCACCACAAATGAGCTTTAAATGGCTGCGCTTGTATTTGTAAACATTTGACTAAATTACAAACTCTTTTGATGATCAATATTGTGAACAACTTTCGCAGGATCACTTTCGCATGTCGAGATCATAATATGTGTGTGTGCTGGCGCTCACAGGCTGTTTCATGGGCACACGCAAAGCTTGAAGGTAAACAAACAACGGCTTATCATAAGCATCTTATCGATGATTATTTGCACAGTTGGCATTAAGAAGAACATATAAACGTGATCTGACTAACTTCTAGCAGCTAAATGCGTCTGGAAAAATATTCAAAGGCTTTTATTCTCACAAACCGCGCGGACGTAAATGCGTCTGACTGTTGTGATTGGCTAAAGCAGACGTCTCACGTCAGCACGTTCTAGACGTGCACGCGCTTATTCCGGAAATATTCCTTCTGCGTTCACACAGCGCAGCATTCCGGCAAATTGCCGGTAATGTTACAACTTCTCTTTCCGGAAAATAGCCAGAACGAATTTACCGGTATTTTCAAAAAGGACCTGTTCACACATACAACCTTTCCGGAAAATTGCCGGTAATTTTCCGGAAAGGTCTGTATGTGTGAAAGGGCTAATAGTTTGCATCCATGACATGAGGAACATTATGCCGGATTCCTTGGAAATTGTGTTTTTTTTAAAGCTGTTGTGTAAACAGATCAAACAAAACAGACGCTCGTGTTTAAATATTTAGCCTAATTTAGTAGAATAAACGTACAAACTGGATTTTCCAGTGTTAGCCTTGCTCAGATAAACAGGAGCTAAATTAGCTTGTTAGCCTGTAAAAACAATAGCTCCACCTTCAGGTCACATTTTTAGGAAGAACTGAATTGCCACCTAATTTTTTTTTAATCAAATAACTCAGAGATAGATAGATAGATAGATAGATAGATAGATAGATAGATAGATAGATAGATAGATAGATAGATTGATTCATTTAAAAAAAAGATTCTCTAAATTAAAACACTCAAATTACAAAACCTTTTAATGCTTTGGCTACTGAAAACAGCATTATAAATTAATGAAATACACTTGATGCTTTTTTTGCCTGTTTATCTCTTTGAAGCTGCTATGATACAATCTGCACTTTAAAGCACTATAGATATATGACTTGACAGACACGTCGGCTTGTCGATTTTGAAACATCTCGCTGACTGTTATCTTAACTATACAGAACTTCTGTTTCTCTTTTAAAAATTCCCCAGTGGCTGTAAAACACTTCCTTCCTTATATTATGTGTTTGCACTGAACTGTTTACTTTACAAGAGTTGAAATGGTTGATGTTGATCTAATTCACTGTGTGCTAGCTACATTTAACAAGCCAAAAAGCAACAGCCTAACTAAACATCACAGATTATCTTAGCACGCAAATAAAACTGCATCACGAACAATGAAATATTTAAATTCTGGTAGACTGCAGATTGACGTTTATCCCTACAAAAAACACATGGTTTTATCAGGGTAAAGCACATATACCATTTTTTGCCATATTGATTACTTTTTGTATTACTACAAGCATAGGCCTTTTGTTAAACTGTAGTGTAGCAAACTATTTTGAATGTGTGGTTATTTGATTTAATGTTTTTTTGTTTAATGGTTTTATATGATTTTTAGATCTATTATTATTATTATTATTATTATTATTATTATTATTATTATTTGGTGTGTTTTAATTTTTGCATTCATGCTTGTGTGTCTTTCTGCTGCACATTTTATATCTGTAAGGCGCCTTGAGATGCTACTTTTAAAGGCCTGTATAAAAATAAAGTTTATTATCATTATTATTATTAATGATTAATGAACAATTTTATCTATTTTTTGTCATGTGTAGTAAAACTACTGTATTTATTTTTTTTAGTTAGGAAAGGATTTCATTTTATTTTTTATTTACCTTATATTTTAGTAAGTAAACATATACAGCAGAACTATAGCCAGGGGGATTCGGGTGGTTTGGTAGACCCACCCCTCACTGACAAAGGTCCAGAATTTATCCCATGCATGATGAGCTCACTTATCCTATTTTGACTGCTACGCCATCATAAATAGTGAAAATAAGCCATCGAAAAAGGCTTTTAAGATCAAGCGGAATCCTCTGTTGATTGCCACATCAGTGTGACTTCAGCTAATCAGTTTTGGCTAATGCAAACTATTATTTTTCATGAGTCCAACATCCAGCTGTGCAAGAAAACATACAATCTGACATAAAGTCATCTTTTGCTACTGTATTGTTTATAAAAAGAGAAAACATTTGACGAGTGACTTTTATTCTGAATCTTGGACCTTATTCTTATTCTTAAAACAAAAAATGACCAATAAAAAGCACCAAAAGCGGACTACATTAAAATGAATTTAAATACTGTTTTGGCTATTGTGATTAGACATCAATTTTCAAATGTACTTTTTTAAAGAAAAGGCTAGAAAATTGTAAAGTTCTACCTTATTATTATGTTTTAATTACTTTTTATTCAAACAGCCAAATTCTGACTGATGAAAGTTGAATGTGCTGGCCAGTTTGTTGTTTGCCAAATAAAAGCCAATCAGCAACAGTTTTTAATTTTAAACTTTAACAGATTCCTATTATTTTTCTAATGATATGCAATAATGTAATACATTTGTATTTCAAAAATAAGTATTTTTTCCCAAATTTTTAAATTCTAAATCTTTTGTAAATGTGGTGATGATGACCATCCGACAAGTTTATCCAGTATGTTCAGTGTCTAATCCCGAACAACCATAAACTGGTTCATTTTACCGAATCAACAACATTCACCACGAACAATGTGATTCCCAAACAATCAATTCCCCTGAACCGGTTCTTTTTATACAGTCAACGTTCATGGCTAGTGTGATTCCCGAGCAAACAACTCCCATGAATCTGCATTCAGAATCAGCAACATTAAAGACTTGTGAGATTCTCGAAGAGGTGGATTTGATAGGGTTGATTTACCAAACCAAAACACCCATTAAATAATCGGACTATGAAGAAAAAGTACTTTCATTTTTTTCATCCCTGATGCTATTCATTTTCTGAAAGGGTTACATTTAGCATAATTTATAGAAAGCGATATATTTTTAGTATTTATACTAATGCGACCAGGATAAATAATAGAACTGCATGACACACACCTTTACAAGATTTTGATTGATTCGTTATCTGTTCTGTTCTGTTCTGTTCTGAAGTAATCTCATCAAATGATTTCTCAGCTGTGCAGTAGTATTTCTTCAGCCATTAGAATTACCGATTATAGAACCGACAGAATCAGAAGCAGAATGGCTAAATCCCTGTTTCTAATCTTCATTCGTTCACATAATCCTCGAATCTCTGTGTAGAACAGACGAGGACCCGCGCGCTCCAGATGTGCGTGGTCTCAACGCCCACGCGCACGGACGCGCGCACGCAGCAGCGTCTCATTGAACCAGAGCGGAGCCCAAGAGGAGCGAAACATGGCGACCTCGAATAATCCGCGAAAATTCAGCGAAAAGATCGCGTTACACAACCAGAAGCAAGCGGAAGAGACAGCTGCTTTCGAGGAGGTGATGAAAGACCTGAGTATCACTCGGGCGGCCCGTGTAAGTGTGTCTGTTTTCTCTCTTATGACAGCACTGATTAGCAGCCCGATGTGCGGGGCAGATTTTGTGTTGATACGACACGCACTGAACCCGCCTGTCTGGACGTAAACAATAACAAACGCCCCTCTCCTGGGCGCGTTTACCACAAGCGTTGTTGAACGGATCGCTTTGCCGTGGACAGTGTTGCGATATTTGACAATAAGCAGACGGTCACGACGAGGCCTTATAAAAGTTGCCATGCTCACAGCTGCAGTCTGTGAGAGTGAATGGATTGAGCATGTGTGTTTGACAGCCACATTACAGTCTCTCGCCATTATAGCTGGACTGTGATCAAGGCCATATCCACTGCTGGACACGATTTAGCATATTATGTTACACATACACAAATGCACATTCATCTCATCTGTCTTTCGATGATGGAGGAATAAACTGATTTATGGATGTTTACCTGCACAGCGTGGAAAATTAAACCATGCACAACAGTGTATTTGCCCGGTTTAACAGTATTGCTCAATGCACTGATGCATTCAGGACTCTAACAAAATATGTAGACACGACAGGGTTGTGATTGCACTGACATTGCCTGCAGCACTTTACAAACATCCCACCAAGGATTCAGGCTAAATACTACCCATTTCAGCGTGACCCTGTTTTCTCTGTGCTGTTGTTTAACTTTTCTGTCTGTTCATGTCTGAACAGTTTTGTTACTTTTCATGTTGATGCATGCTTACATGTGAATGATAATGCTTTATTATTTATTTTAAGTCAGTTTGGACATATTTTCAGAATCTTTATTTATTATTATTTACTATTATTATTATTATTATTATTTTTAATTAATTTAATTTCTTTTAGTTTCCATTATTGTCTCTTTTTTGGTGTTTGAATTTTCCTTTTTACCATATTTAAAATCTGCATCATATGCATAATCTATGTTTAAATATTAAACCTTTATGCAGGGCCAAATATTGCTGGATGTGTTTTAAACATTGAAGTGAAGTACTAGAGAGATATTGTCTCTTTAAACAATCTGTTCAATGATAAAGGTATTTAGGCCTTGGCACTACTCAACTTGGCACTACTAAACAAAGCTATCTCTTTAAGCCAATATACAAAGAAAGGACCAGTTCAAGTTCAAGACAAGTTCATCTATAAAGCACATTTAAAAACAGTTACAAGACTGACCAAAGTGCTGGACATAAACAGCAGTTCATCAATAAGCTATTTAATTGTTAATACCGCCTACACATGGGTTTTTGCAGTGTGAAGATACAAATGCAATGCTGCAAATTGTTTAGAAAGATTTTAGAATGACTGAATATTCAAACAATTCATCTGAGTCTCCTTGAGAAACATATCAATTTATAGTCAATAGTAAATGAGAAATATCACTCTTGGAATTTATTGTGTTTACATTTTAAAGATGTGTAATACCACTTCTTTGTCATTTGTTTGATGTCTTACAGTTACAGTTACAGAAGACCCAGTATTTACAGCTCGGTCAGAACCGAGGACAGTACTATGGCGGCTCTTTGCCAAATGTCAATCAGATTGGAAACACCGGAGTTGACCTGCCCTTTCAGGTGATGACTGAAAAACAAGTATGAATAGTTCTGTGAAATACCAGTGGAGTTTCATCTTATTTATTTTTGATCAGACTCCTTTTCAGAACTCTGGACTGGACACAAGTAGAACGACTCGTCACCATGGACTAGTGGACAGGGTTTATCGGGATAGGAATCGCATCACATCGCCACACCGCAGACCCCTTTCTGTGGACAAACATGGACGTCAAATATCCTTGATTAGTCTCCTCTTAGAGACCATTTATACAACATTTTAAGCCATAAATGAATTTGTTTAGTGCCATTTGCCTGTTTGTTTCCACGGCAATGGCTTTTTTGTGGCTCTAAGCACATAAACCGAAAACAAATTGGACAAAATCAAAAATATGTCATTGTAAACACCTCAAAACGAGTCTTTAAAAATGACTTGCATGCTTGTGCATGCATAGTACATGTTTAGGGAAAGAAACACAACAATGGTGTAGTCACTTAGTTGTGTTGTGTAACGCTTCATTCAGCAAAGTGTGGATTTACTTCACATTACAACCAAAAGCTCATGCCAAATCTACATACACATCAGAGCCGAGCCACCTTAGACATGTCCTCACTTCTCTTCAGGTACTGTTTACAGCACTAAATATTAGCTTGGCATAGATCCTACTTTTTTGTGGTCATTCTTACAGATGTATAGAAGTGTATCATTTGATACGTGAAGCTTTTTTAAAACCAAGGGAAAACTTTGGCTATAAAATTTTTGTCTTTGGTTTTTGGCTATAATGTTGTTGGAAATGTAAACATAGCCTTATATGCAGGCAGGATTTCTGTGCTACAATGCATTTAGAAGCATATTTACACTCACATTTCTGCTATTCACTTCCAACTTTATAAAGTCCTTAATGTTGAATCTCACATTGATAGCTGTCCATATGCCTCTGTGTATCTGTCACCCCCACCTGATACCAGCTGGAGGAGGTGAGAGTTTACACTCACGCTGTCTATTTGCATGTGCTGAAGACTGTACATATTTGCAGGTCTAGTAATCCAGATAGGAGCTAAAAGCAGTATGTAAATAATTATCCGTTAGGCCTCTTCTATTTATTAAACAGCTTTTAAATAGTAGCATGAGTGTATGTGAATTATATATTGTGCATTATTATTATATGATTTTAATAATAATATTGAATACCCCTCTATAATCTCTTAAAATGAAAGCACATCCAAATTCACCTCTCATTATTTCATGTTTTTATTTAATTAAAAAAATTAAAGGTAAAGATTTGATGGAAATACTGAAGACGTCACATTCTGAGATGTTTTGATAAGATTAAGTTAGCCTATTTAATGTTAGCAATTCTCCAACATTTGTTTATGTGCTCTTTTTTGCATTTGAATGTTGTCGTCTGATATAAACTTTGTAGTTTTAGTTAGGTCGGTGTTTCTCAATCATGTTCCTGAAGGCCCACCAGCTCTGCACATTTTCCATGTCTCCTTAACCAAACATTCTGATCATGATCATCAGCTTAAGACTGAAAGAGGTGTGACAAACAAAGGAGACATTCAAAACATGCAGTGTTGGTGGTCCTCCAGGAACGTGGTTGAGAAACACTGAGTTAGTCGATGCTGTTACCTCCTGTTATTCTTTAAAACAATTGTTTACCCCAAAATTAAAGTCATCCCATAATTACCTTACCGTCAGACCATCCTAATTGAGAACTGATGTCTCTTTTTGGAGTGAATTTTAAACAGAAGTGAGTTGTATTGGCATACATCTTAAAATGGTGCTTTTGTCTATGATTGTTCAATATCATACATCGTATCTCGACTATCACATGAACACACACACCATTGGCTAGAAACAAATGATGAAGTTTAAAATTTAGCTCAGTGGTGTAAAATGAATTACTTTTATTAGAAAGGGTGCATTTTTTTGAAACTTTGAGAATTAGAGATCCAGGATGTTATTGAATATAACTTTGATTGTGTTTGTCTCAAAGTAATTTCCTTATGCTTGTTCTGCAGGACCAACTCAGACTCTGCCTTGCATCAGAGCACTTTGAACCCAAACCCACAAGATGCATTTGCAGGAGGTTCTCAAGATTTGCAGCCAAAACAAGGTTTGCTTATTCGATTTTTCTTTATATTTATTTAAAAGCAAAATTTATATCTATTTTATTTTATATAATAAAACTACAAACTGTTCTACAAATTCTCTCCACACCTGTTTCAGTTCATGATTTCATCCCTCTCTGTGTATAGTTCTTCTTCTCACTATGCCAGGAACAGGGGACCCCGATAGTGACATGGACAAAGAAAGTCAAAAGCAGATATGGGATCAAAAAAAGGTACGTTTCATTTACCATTTCTTTTAGGACTGCACAATATATTGTTTCATCATCTGCAGTAGTCATATAGGAGGATCTACAATGTTGAGGCGGGATTATAGTTGACCAGGAACCACAGTTGATTGTGTTTGTGTTTTTAAGGCCTGTGATTGTGTAAGCATTTACACCATAGGTCTCAAACTCAATTTCTAGAGGGCTGCAGCTCTGTACAGTTTTGCTCCAACCCTAATCAAACACAGCTTATCCAACTAATCAAGGTGTTCAAGACTACTAGAGACTATTAATCAGGTGGAGCTGAAGGTGATTGGAGCTAAACTATGCAGAACTGCAATTATAATGTTTAGGGATGCACCAATCCCGATACTTCGATTGGATATCGGTTCGGTACCACATATTTTTGCTGCATCGGGTATCGGCCAGCTGATCCAAATCAGATCTTGCGCGTGCACTATATTCTGTGTAATTTATAAGCCAACAAAAGCCACGAAGGTAGCCTATTAAAAGGCACTAGAAAGTTGTCATGTAGGCCTACTATATGCTAAATATTTTGAAGCCATTCTATAGTTTAATGTGAAGTACAGATGAATATTCAAGTGCTTAAGTTCATGTTTACTTCAACGCTTTCTGCAGCTGCACCTGTCAATCATTCTCCATTCATTCAAACTGTGCGCCGCGTTCATGACAGCACAAAAAACTTTCTCCAAGACTAATTGTTTCTGTTAATATAAGTAATCGGTGGGGAAATCCATTTAGTTTTGCATTAAATGGGTTCATTTTGATCTGCAACATGGAGATCATTGCTGTTTTTAAATCATGTTGCGCTGAGTCTGTTAGACTAGCAGATCGCAAACAATAGCTGGACCACAACAGATCATATCATTGTCATAGTGAATGCTTAAATAATGTAGCCTATAGTTTGTAGCAAGCATCGTGTTTAGTTAGATTGTGCCATCTGTCATATACAGTAGGCCTATAGGTCTGTTATTTTTACTAAATAAGATATATTATTTGACTTTATCACCAGAACTATAGAAACTGTATTATGTTAAAACAACAACAAAAAACGGCAGTATCGGGATCAGATCTGTATTGATCGATACTCAGAATTTTGGTATCGAGATCAGATCGGTTGATGCAGATTGATGCATCCCTAATAATGTTTTTAACTTTAAGAAAGATTAATTGTATTTAAGTATATATACAAACTCAATAAAAAGTACACTGTTATTTTACATTTGATTATTCCATTTGTGTACCTGAATACTGCTAGATTCTCAGAAAAAAAAAGTTTTTTTTTCAGTGTTTTCATTGATAGCTTTGCTCTACTGTTTTTATTAATATTTGTGGTTGATTTATTATGTTTAATGTAGATGCACTCTGCCAAATCATCCTAATCATTGTAGAATGATGTATATTCTTTCCAAATAGAGCTATTTGTTTCATCAGGTGAAATAATATTCAATATTGAAATATGTATTCCAGAAAAAAAATATTGCAATATCAGTTTTTTTTCCAATATTGCGGAGCCCTAATTTATTTACTATGTTTTCATGTAATATTTAATCAACACGCTCTATTTATCATATTTTATAGAACACTTCGCAAAGGCCCAAGTCAAACAAAATACCTGGAATCAAGTAAGTGTGGTTACTTTGTATTGTCCTAAGCCTGTAGCTAAAAAGTAGAGCTTAGACAAATGGAAAGAACATTGCAGCATCTATCTTTCTGAGGTTGCAGAGTAAAATGTTCATTTAAGCAAGCGATGTTGCATTAATTTTTCAACTTAATGGTGATTTTTATGTATCAGTTCCTTTTCAACAGCTTTGTTTTATTGTATTGTAATCAGTACAGTGAGCTTTTATTATAGATCTGTTTATCCTACATTTTCTAACCTCCCTCGTCTCCTTTCTCCAGTATATTTCCGTCTCCAGATCAGGAAATTACCGCATCTCTAATCCCAGTGGCACACAATACTGGCGGCTCTCTGCCAGACCTGACCAACATTCAGATTCCTCCTCCTCTCCCCACACCTTTGGACCCTGAGGACTCCTCGTCCTCTCTCAGTGCCTCCAACAGCACTGGCAACCTCGCCAACCCTCACATGGGCCTTACATCTGCCGGTCAAGGTGATTCTCATAACCTCAGACATTAACACTAGAACTAGCCAGGTGGTCATTTTGATTTAGTCATTTTTAATTTTTGCATTTTTATAACTTTGAAATAAAACACACACTTATAACACCCAAACTTTTCCTAAATATGTGTATATTTCGTTCTAACATTGTAGTCTTATCAAATTACAAAACACAAAAGAGCTCTCAGTATTTATACCTATTTCTGTAATTTTCATAGTGATCAAAATGTCTACTTTTACATGTGACTTTAAGTATAAGTGCCACTTTTGCCTAGCTAAATTTCATAACTTCAGATATATCATTCAAAACAGCATTCGAAACAGCCTTCTTCTCTGCTTGTGAAAGTGAAGTGCGGACTTCGCTGGTGGTCTAGTAGCCTACATGTAATTACACATTTAAAGGCTGTATTACCAAGAAGATTGTATTTTTAGGGTAGTGACTTTATTAAATATGACGAGAGATGTTCAAAGCTTAGTTTTAATATCTCAATAGAAGCTTTGAATGTAAATATGATGTGACAATATGACGTCTATAGGAGAACGGTCAAAATGGCTGCTATGGTAATTCTAGTAGAATAAAATTCTGTTAGTTCCAGTGTTAAAACAGAAGTTCAAAGGCCCCTAATTGGCCAAATTGTTAAGCCCCACTTGTAGGCTGAGGCCCAGAGTATGCTTAGATTTTATACATGTGCTGTAGTATTAGGTAAATTACTTCAAAACAGTTATTATTTAACTACTATTAATTACTTCATTAAAATTGTTTTAAAATTACTTTCTAATTACTTTGTCTGAAAGGTAACTTAATCAATAAGTAATTTAATTGCTTCACTCAATGCTACTTAATGTCTTTACAGTGCTCAGCATAATTGAGTGCACCCCATTTTGAAAATGTATATTTTTATCCATTTCTTAGTAAATATAGGCAATTTATTTTGGTGCATTTAAACAAGACAGATTTATTAAACAGATATATTTAATAAAATAATATTTTAGTCACCAAACATTTAGAAATGGAAAGATAATAATATTAAAATTAAGCAAAATATTGCAAAAATAAGTTACAACCTACAAAATTTGAACTAAATTTAAGATTGCATCTTGATTTTTCCTCTTTTTAAAATTTGTATTCAATATTTTTCTATAACATAAATTTGTCTGTACTAGTTCTTGGACAGTTATCTTAAGTTATTTTATTAGATAAGCTCCAGATTCGGCTTCAGTACTGACTAATCTAATGTATATGCACAAATCTAATGTTCGATAGCTTCCTATTAAAAACATGAATTTAAAAGATAGATTTGTGACGGGTGTACTTATATGCTGAGCACTGCAAATCTCAAAGCATACAAAATACACAAGTTAAACACTTCGATTTTTTACAAATTTGATTGGGTCTTTTAGATTTATTTAACATTTATGAATTGTTAAACTTTCTAAAATAAAAAATAATTACACCATATTTCATACATGATATGATATATTGACATTAATTTTCTTCTAAATTCATTATTTCTTAAGCATGTGTAATCATATGAAATAAATTGAGTTATGCTGCAAATATATTTGAATAATAAAAAAAATTACATATTTACAATTAATTTGCTTCTCTGAACTGATCTATAGCAAACTGTCGAATATATGCACAGTATTTTAGTCAAGTGTATTTTAAGAAATTGTAATTATGTGACCTAGGGTTATTTATTCAGCTTTCAGTTGATGTCTAAATCTCAATTTCAAAAATGTCACACTTATGATGGATTTTGTGATTCATGTTTACATATAGCTGTAACTAATAATATAAGAAGTTTAAGGAGCTGGATGGTATTCAGGGATCAGACTGAACCAACAAAATTAACAAACAAACTACTTCTACAAATATTCGTAATTTAATGGATAACTGTACAAATTCACACAATTTCAGCAATGAAGATTGTTTTTGAGATTAACATAACTAAAATATTCATTATTAAACTGCCTATGACATTTTAAAAGTGTTTTCTATACATGTCATATCATTTATGGGAGAGCTTGATATATGTAGACATACAGTTTAGCTGTTTCAAAAATAGTTTCCCCATTAAAACCTAGTATTGTATATTACAAATACTGTTAGCTCTTTGAGGAATTGCTTTCACTATTCTTTGGGAAATTACTTTGAATAAAAAGGTATCCGCTAAATGCATAAATGTAGTTTAAAATCATTCAGTAACATTCGTCTTTGAAGATCTAATATTTAACCCATTCACATTTATTCAGTTACCAAATGATTTTATCCATCATAAAGAGGCAAATAAAAGTATAAATACAAATATTCAGCCATTGTTTAAAAAAAAAAGGCAAAATAAATGTCTTAAAGCATTATCTAATTCACATAAGAGCTCATTTCTTCCGAATCTGATGTCTAGTGATGACCTGCTTTCTCTCCTGAGGTGTGACATCAGGCCAGCCCACAGCCACAGTTCAGCGCCGGCATGAGAATGTAGTTCCTCTGATCCTCAACACAGACTCTCAGCAGCTTCCAGGTCTTCAGCAGCTGTCGCCCACCCTCTCTCCTCCACTCTCTCTAGCACAGGTAACACTGCACGCAAACCTGAGGGGAAAATATATATTCTACTATTAAACTTAAAAAAACAACAAAAAAAACTGTTTCATTTTGAAAAGCAGACCATTCCCCTCCCCTATATTCTCCAGTTTTCTAAGTATGGGATGCAAGAGCATGTTAGGATAAAGCCTGAGTAATGTGTATTAATGATGAAAATAGACTAAAGTTTTTTTGTAAACAAATAAACTTTAGTTTATTTATGCACATTAATATAGCAAAGAAACACGACTGAGCATGAAAAAAGTAAGTGTTTGATGAGTAATTAATAACAATGAAAGAGACACCTCAGCATGCGTGTTAAAGTGCTAAATTTACTTCTCTTTTATGGCTTTGTGGAAAAGTCAAATACTTGCTTAAGTGTCAAAATGCATAATCTTGTAGTTTGTAGCTTGTAGCTCTGCACAGTTTTACTCCAACCCTAATCAAACACAGCTGGTCCAACTAATGAAGGTGTTCAAGACTCTTTTGAACACCTTGATTAATTGGATCAGCTGGTTTTGAAAGGGTTAAAGCAAAACTGTGCAGAGCTGCGGCCCTCGAGGAATTGAGTTTGAGACCCATGATGTAAACAGCTTGTTAGGTCTACAGTGAAAGCAATTTGGAAACATTAACTGTGTATAATAAATGACACCAGCCTGATAATACACTGTTTATGCTCATAATTTAAAGAATTCAATACTCCCTGCGGAATATGCTTTATTAATATATGGAGAATTCATTTGATTTATTTAGTATCTATGTATATCCATGTGGGTATATGTGGTATACTGTATCTAACCTTGGGGACCAAGTGTCTCTAAATTGTGGTGTAGGGAAACAATCTGACTTTCTGTTCCGAAATGATTTCTTCTTGTCATTTCTGACTTGTAACAAAAAACAGAACAACCTCTGAAAGCCGCTACGTGACAAGATGTACAGTAAACAAGCTAAAATGAACTGAACCAAGCTTTTATAAGCTGTTGTTTTTTAAAAATGAGTGTTTAAGGACACCAAAGAAGAGCGTAGCGTGTAATATAAGAGAACTGATGATACGCCCGCTACAGAGAAACGTAATCGGCGAGAAGCATTCATTATTTTTAACCATGTCAAAGGATTATATCAGTGCCCTATGTGAACCTGAGATGAGGAGATATATAGAGAGATTGAACTGTATTGGTCTATGGCAGTTCTTAGCTTCCTTTTGTTTGACAAATGATCCAACGGCGTCATAAAAATACTTTAATAAAAATTATTTGAATGTTTTTTTTTTTATGTTGTGAATTGAAGAAGTAGATATTTCAGGTATCTTCAAAGCAGAATCCTTTAATGAGAACTCACAGTTGCTGTGTTGTTGATCAAAAACTTAAACTAGTGCAGCTTTGCACTCAGTTTAAATACATTTTGGGGGGGCAGTGAAACATAGAGGTGGAGTCAAATCTAAACAAAGTATGCAAAGGAAGTACAGGAGTCAGCCAGGTAAACTGCGTTTTTCCAGCTCTAATCTCATCAACAAAATAGTACACATTCAGATGCATAGGTGTTAATCCAGTTAGCCGTTTGAGACCCTGCCCGATAGTCAGGAAATGCTTATTGACAATAGGTTAAAATATACCGGCTAGAGTTTTGAATTAATTTGTATTTCTAAAGAACCAAAGAATATAATTTGTATATAACTTTAGTTATATACAGTTGAAGTCAGAATTATTAGCCCCCTTTGAATTTATTTTTATTTTTTTTTAATTTTCCCAAATTATGTTTAACAGAGCAAGGACATTTTCACAGTATGTTTGATAATATTTTTTCTTCTGGAGAAAGTTTTATTTGATTTATTTTGGTTAGAATAAAAGCAGTTTTCAATTTTTTAAAAAACATTTTAAGGTCGAAATTATTAGCCACTTTAAGCTATTTTTTTTCTGTAGTCTACAGAACAAACCATCGATATACAATAACTTGCCTAATCACCCTAAACTGCCTAGTTAACCTAATTAACCTAGTTAATCCTTTAAATGTCTCTTTAAGCTGTATAGAAGTGTCATGAAAAATATCTAATAAAATATTATTTACTGTCATCATGGAAATAATAAAATAAGTCCATCATTAGAAATTAGTTATTGAAACTATTATGTTTAGAAATGTGTTGAAAAAATCTTCCCTCCGTTAAACAGAAAATGGGGAAAAAAATAAACAGGGGGTAAATAATTCGGGGGGGGGCTAATAATTCTGACTTCCACTGTACATTATTGTTTATTTGAAACTAGATTATATAGATTTTCATTGTAACACACGGCTGTAATAGCTACAGAACCTGCTAATATAATACTATTGCATATCTGCTTAAAGCCTCAATCACATTAGCAGCAACTTTGTAACTGCCTGTCGCTCTGGGTGGTGACCTGCTGCAAACGCAGGTCTTTGTAGGTCTTCAGCACAGAGAATAATATCGGCCTCTCAGCGAGCTGAGAGAGGATCACATGAGCTCTAATGGTGCTCTCATTGACTGTTGCTCAATGAAAGTTGTTCTTCATTTGCAAAAATGTAAAGAATTCTCAACTTTGTTGCATCGTTCGACACACCCACTTCGTCGCCAACGGTCGCTGACACTAACATGAACAGAGGTCGCTGGAAGTCGCTCACTCTCCATTGAAATAAACGGTTGCTCGCCGCTCATAGTGTGAATGAGGCTTTTGAATACTGCCATAATAGTAAGCTACATCTTATTTTACTTTATTACCTGCATCCACTTTTGTGTCCTTAAACACACATTATTTAGAGTCGACTGCCGCTCACTCGATATTTTCTCTTTTTCGGACTATTCTCTGTAAATCCTAGAGATGGTTGTGCATAAAAATCCCAGTAGATCAGCAGTTTCTAAAATACTCAGACCAGACCGTCTGGCACCAACAACCATGCCAAGTTTAAAGTCACTTAAATCACCTTTGTTCCACATTCTGATAAAGCATAGTTTTAGTTTCTTTTAACTTGTTTACTGTATGTCTTGTTACATAGCAGATTTTAGATCCTGTTCAGTTTTATATTAAAAGTCAGAAATGACAAGGAGGCAGCTTCCTTTAATAGAAAGTCAATGGAGAGGGTTGGATTGTTTTTTCCCCTGATGGGCCTGGCTTTTATGTTAGGAAATGTGTGCATCACAATTGATAGTTTTCAGTCATGTGACCTGTATGGAGACCTGGCGGGCAAAAGACAGTTGGCTGTAATGGCAGCTTCATTGGGATTCCATAGAAACTTTTAGATATTTTTATCTGTTTTAAGCTACGAATATTCGGCTCGCATATTAAGAGAACAAAATAGAGATATGATCACAAACTCTACATTTTGGGCGATCCAAAATGTACCCGCAGCCATTTTCAGTCAATTTAAAATCATCAGAGCTACTATTCAGCAATATCTGTATGTATGTTTTGGATTTTCCTCAGCAATTTAGTCATTGGTGACGGTGTTAAACTTAAATTGCACTTAACCTGCAAGTTAGAATAGAAACTGTTTAAACTGTGTGTTATAAATCTACTGACAGTTATTGGTACCATGCTATGGGTCAATGATGCTACCATTAGGCACAAATCAATAACTTTGCTTAAAAAATGTTCTTTCTATGAAGGAATTTCTGAAGAAGCACAGCCCAGACATGTCTCCTCATCGGTTAGTAATGTTTTATGTTATTGCACTACAATTATTCTGCTTTTTGGGTAAGCACATGATTTTACAGTCAGTGAAAGACAGTATTTTTTGCCCACCAGGGTGGCGTTCCCTTAATTGTGTGACGTCATGTGAAAACTGTCAATAGGAGCCCATTTTCTTTACAATACAATACAATATTTATTTATAGAGCACATTTAAAAATAACCAAGGTGACCAAAGTGCTGTACATAGGAGTGCTAAAAACAGAGAAGCAGAATATAAAATAAGCATTTAACAGATAAGAGCAATAAAACAGTGATCAAGGAGTATTAAAAGCGAGAGAAAATAGATAGGTCTTTAAAACAGACTTAAACACAGAGATGGAGGGGGAAAGTCTAATGTGAATCGGGAGACTGTTCCAGAGTTTAGGACCAGCAACAGCAAACGCTCGATCACCTCATTTTGTTCAAATGTTCTTTGACCATTTTATATCATGACTGCTTATTCGATTCATGTGAAAGTGAGGTTTCCTGTTTTAAAGTAGTCATGCAATCGAAATAAAGCGTTCATGGATAATTTTTAGGAATATCAATTTCATTTGAGTCAATTTTATTTTATTGTACCGAATTAAGAATTATATTGAGAGCTTGTGAATCAGAATCTAATCGAATCGGGTCCTCTGAATCAGTACCCAGCTCTAGTTCCACAAAAGCAGCATTTCTGTCTCAGCTGTTAATAGTCTGTCAATCTGAATCTGTGTTTGACAGGCAGTGACGATAGACGCCATGACCCTGGAGCAGCAGTTGGCTCAGTATGCTTTCTTTAGCCAGCCGTCCACTCAGACACAGGGGGGAGGTGGGCTTCCTCCGTTGCCAGTCGTCTCCTCCAGCCAGACGCAAACCTCTGTGGGCATCGATATCAATACGGTAAGATTACATCTCAACACTTGCAGTGGAATTTTTTAGATCTCGGTATGGCCAACTGTCAGTCAGAGCATACAGGGCACTAAGAGGTTAACTCCTTTTCTAAATGATAACGAATACAATACCAGTCAAATGCTTTGGGATATATGCTTATGTTTTTGGAATTTATTAGAAATGAAATGGGTGATTGTGGGCAGTGTTGGGTGAGTTACTTCCAAAATGTAATTTATTAATTTGTGTTCTAGTTGTACTTATTTAATTGCTTAAGGAATTTAATCACGTGACTTAGTATTGCTTAAAATAAGGAATAAATCACATAGAAAAGACAATATAAATTTTAAAAAGTCAAACTTTGGTCCTACCTTTATTTTAAAAAAGCAATATTTAAGCATTTTAATAACAAACAGCATTCTTTAGTTAATGAATGAGAATCATTCAGCAAAATTGGGAAGAGTTTATGAGTTTTGGAACATTATATATATCGAAAACCTGAAAGGTTTATTAGTAGTGACACAATATATATTTCACACATATTGTATATTGTCATTAAACTAATTTCTGACAAATTCATTGTTTAAGCTTGTCTAATTTCTTGACAAATGTGGCCTTTTTTAGTAGAAAAGTATAATTAGTGTTCTAAATATCTAAATAACAAAAAATGAATTGATTCAATGTTCCCACTCTTTCATGAACGGCAGATTAAAGGACTTGTCTTAATTCCCCCAGCATATGTAGCGCCATGAAACATCTTGCTGTACTTAACATTTCACTTACACTTAATATTAAAAAGAATATTTTGAATGTGTCATTTTCAAAACAAATTACTGTTTTAAATAGTCATGTTTAAAAAAACTTTAATAAAATGTGCTGAATTCAATGCTTGTACTATTCACTGGTACTGTTATTGATAAAGTTTGTATTATTTATAATAGTTTAAATCCATAGTGTGGAAACCCTGTTGATTTTGCTTCTCTGAATTGATTCATTCAGAAATGTTAAATTTATTTACAGTATTTCATGCAGTGTACATTATAAGTAACTAATTAAGTGACCTAAAATGAACAGTAATCCAATCCTTTACATTCTTCACTGTGCTAGTAGTTTAATTACAGTAACTAGTTAGTTTGTAACTGATTACACCCAATGTTGACTGTGAGACATAGCTTCAAATGAGTATTTTTAGGAATTTTGAGAACTAAAGTTGCAACTTTGTAATGTGACTGTTTCCTTTTACTGATGGTTAAGGCATTAATTTGAATTACACAAATGTAACCATTCACCATTGTTTTTTGTCCTTATCCTTTAAAAAAAAGAAAACAATATAAAAGTGTACAGAAGTGCACTGCCTGACAAAAGTCTTGTCGTCGATTCCAGTTGTAAAAGCAACAAATAATAACTTGACTTCAAGTTGATCATTTGGAAAAATGTCAGATAGTGTCAGGTAGATTTTTTTTTAGATCAATCGTCTGTTGAGCTGCATCCCAATCATCACAAATACTGCAGAAGACCTATTGGAACCCACATGGACCCAATATTCTTACAGAAATCAGTCAAGTTTGGTGAAGGAAAAAGCATGGTTTGGAGGGCAAATTCTTCAGCAGGATAGCACTCCTTCTCATTCTAGCCTCCACATCCAAGTTTCTGAAAGCAAAGAAGGTCAAGGTGCTCCAAAATTGGCCAACCCAGTCACCGGACATGAACATTATTGAGCATGTCTGGGGTAAGATGAAGGAGGAGGCATTGAAGATAAACACAAAGAATCTTGATGAACTCTGGGAGTCCTGCAAGAATGCTTTCTTTGCCATTCCAGATGATTTTATTAATGAGTTATTTGAGTCATTGCAGAGATGTAAAGATGCAGTCCTCCAAGTCATACACAATATTAATTATTTTTCCACTGCACCATGACTTTATATTTTACACTGTACATTATTTTTGTTAAGTGACAACACTTTTGTCTAAGCAAAGTCAAACCTTACTGTTCTAATTAAAAATTCTTAATCAAGACATGTTCATATTTTATTTTGGTAAAATAAGTGTAATCTAGAGGCTTTGCCTTTCCTATAAACCACTTTTGATACCAAATGATCAAGTAGAAGTCAAGTTATTATTTGTTCTTTCTAAAACCTGGATAGGCGACAAGACTTTTGTGATGTGGTGTATGGAGTCAGTAAGATTTGTTAATTTAAAAACACCAAAATCATTCAGCAGAAATGCTGCATATTAAATTTAGATCAAAATAATAATAATAATAATAATTAATAATTATATTATCTAAAACACAATTCAAAGTCCAGACTTTTGACTGGTAGTGTAAATAAAAAACTCTTTCCTTTTTAAATTCCCTGCTTGTTCAGTTTTAAACACCTCCAACATCTTCACATTACCCTAATGAAGAGTTACCAATACTTTCTAGAAAAAAGATGATCAACAAATACATATATACAATACATATATTTCTTTTTATAAAGAGTCAGCAGTCTAATAATAACAGCACAGTCATCCTGCACAGCTGCACAGTTTATATGGCAGAGTAATCAGAGACACTGTAGTAATCTGTTCCTTGACTAACCTGAGAGACGCAGGAGTCCGAGGTCCCCTACAGGGGCTCTGTTGGTCTAACTTGGTGTTGTCCCATGTAGGCTGCTTCCCTCCAGCAGTACCGCTGTAGGGTGGGGTCTTCGGCCAATCAGTCTCCAACCTCTCCGGTCTCCAATCAAGGCTTCTCTCCAGGGGGCTCGCCTCAAGTAAGGGCGAATCCAGCAGCCGCTGCTTCCTCCCTGTAGTTTGTTTTGTTTGGAGCCGATCTGGAGCCTGTCCCTTTAGCCCGCTCTGTGTGTCCCAGTCTAGTCGTGTCCCCCCCAGTCTCTCTCTCTCTCTGACCCCTGGCTGCTTCGCTGTGTGTCTGAGCACCACGTAGTCGTTCTCTGTGTGTATCATGCTGAGGAGCGATGCAGGCCAGTTTAAATGTACTGTATGCCGTACTCATTGCTGTTACACATCCTTTCACTGGATCATGTGCATATTGTGCGTTTTGAGCCGAGTTGCTGGTTGTGGTAGTATGACGTGAAACGATGCTCCTTTGAAAGATGAATAGGTTTGTTCACCCCTAAATGAATGTTTTCATCATTTACTCGCCTTCATATTGTTCTCATCTTTTCTTCAGAGCACTTCAAATGAAGATGTTTGTAATCAGATATGAGAGATTTCTGTGACATCATCGAAAGTCTGTTCGTCCACATCAATCATAATGATAAGATAAAAAATGTCCATATTATGTAGGTAGTTTATTCCATATGTTCTGAAAAGGCTGAAACATGTAATGCTGAACAGATTTATATACTGTAGGTTTTTGTTCATGAGTAAAAACAGATTACTAAACAGTTTTGCACATTCAAATTTAGGGTTGGGTATTGATTAAGTTTGTAGTGAAACCAGTGCTAAATTTATCTATTAATTATACCACTGGATGAACTGATATATCAGCCTGATCTCATGAGAAAACGTAAGGAATTTACGTTTTGTCAGTTAAGTGCTTAATTCGTACAAATTTGTTCAATTGTACGATTTTAAAGAGGAAGCGAGGCACCATACCTCACCCCTAAATCCAACAGTCATTGGGTGATGAGCAAATCGTACTAAATTGTTTGAAATAGATCTTATGAATTATTACAAAATAGCCACTAAAACAAAAAGTTATGTATTGTTGTGACATTGTGTTAGATATATACAAAAATAATTAAAAAACAGCTTCAAAATTCAGTCATTAGTTTGCATAAATATGATCATATTCACTTCCACTGGGAAAATACGACACTTGACAAATTACATGTCTGGAGATTGTTTAGGTGCACTTGTCCATCATAAAATTTGTGCTCAGAAGCACCTCGCTATGCTTTTGGCATTTTTGAGATGTCAACAGAAAAAAAAGTGGTCTGCATGAGGAAAAAATGCTGCTGATTTTCATTATTGTTGTCTTCACTATTCTTGTTGTCATGTCTTAGTTTCTTTTCTGACTGTGAAACAAACAATAGCCTGGTTCAGGGCTGACATCTTGTGGACGAACTAAGTAGTTATTATTAATATTATTATTATTATTTGACCAGGAAAGACACATCGAGATTAAAAATCTCTTACAAGAGTCGGCGCCGGTGGTGTAGTGGTTGGTGTGTCGACACATGCACTCCGGTGCTCCCGGCGACCCGGGTTCGATTCCGCCTCGCGGTCCTATGCCGATCCTTCCACTCTCTCTGCTCCCCATGCTTTCCTGTCGATACTCTCTACTGTCCGGGGTGAAAAACCCCGAAAAACCACGAAAAAATAATTATAAAAAAAAAAAAAAATCTCTTACAAGAGCGTCCTGGCCAAAATTAGGCAGTATACATCTCACATGGGTCCAACAGACAACAAATCATGAATTACACATTGACAAACAAACTATTTAAAACATCTACAAGCCTGTGTTTCAATTTCTAAATCAAATATACCCTTTTTAAAAGCATTTAGTGTCAAAATCAACTCTTTAAACTGCAACCTTGTTTGTAAATTATTCCATGCAAATGGTGCTGCGTATTTAAAAGCTGTTTTTCCGCATCTCAGTCTGCACTTTAGGAGCAAACAGTAAATAAATATCATGTGACCAAAGGACATGGCTAAGGACAGTTTTTTAACAAATATAATTCTGTAGATATGATGGGAGTAAACCCAGTATAGATTTGTAAACAAAGAGATGCCAATGCTTTAACCTACAAATGGACAAAGACAGACCAACCTTCTTTAGTATACAACATGCAATGATGAGTAAGGGATTTCAAATTAGTTATAAATCTTAGTGCACCATGGTAAACAGTATCCAATGCATGCATATAGATAACATCACGGTAGTCCAATATCGACATAAAGTAGTGTTAAAACGACTGCATCACATGAATAGGTAGAAAAACTGACTATTTGCTAACAATAAGTATGTATAATCTTGTAAAGCATTTACATTTAGTCATTTAGCAGACACTTTTATCCAAAGCGACTTACAAATGATTTATAAATCATAGTTTAACATTAACTAATGCATTCTTAAAATACAAAGCTGTGCTTGTTAACATTAGTTATTTCACTGTGAGTTGTCTTAACTAATATAATCAACCTTATTTAACTTAAATAACATTAACTAACGTTAACGAAGATGAATAAATACAGTAATGAATGTATTACTAATTGTTTGTTTATGTTAGTAAATACATTAACATGAACTAATGGACCATTATTTTAAAGTGTTATAACGTTTAAATAACGTTTCCAAATAACGTTTATTTTTCTTGCTGGTTACTGATTTAAAATTTAGCCCGTTGATTTTTTCATATAAAGATTTATGTTTCTCACAGGCTCTGGTTATTTATGTCAACTGGTTTCAGTACCCAACCCTATACCAATTTGCTCACAGAAATTAAAACAAAATTACTGGATGCTTGAAAATCAATAGGAGTTATTATTTTGTGTCACAGCAGTAGTTATTTAACAATAGTAAATATAGTCACATCACAATATAGTTCAATGGAGTACACAAACTTATAGAGTTGAAAGGATGGTGTTAAGCTTCGTTTTCTTGAAAGCCATTTCAAAATGATAATCAACATTTCAGGTAGAAAATACGACTGTAGTGATATTCAGTGTGGGATTCCTGAGATGTTTAGGTCTTTGCTCATCTGTTGCTTTGATAAGATGTTGCATTTATGTACAGGGCAACATTTTTGTGTTCCAACTGAGCCAAAAATGTCTTTGTCAAACATACTAATAACGTAGTTATAATTTTGAATTTCATGACATGACCAACTTAGATCCTCTCATAGGCTGAATATGTTTCATTAAGGGCTGTGTTATAGTCATGCTCATCTTCATGAATGGTCATTTCTAATATGTTCTTGTTTCAGCACTCGTCCATTCTCGGAAGTGTATTTGGTGATGCCTTTTATGACCAGCAGCTCTCTCCTCGGCAGACCAGCGCTTTGTCCCAGCAGGTGAACTATTCTACAATCTTTGTTTTGACATGTCTGTCACATGCAGATTAAATTGGAGCTCAGTTCTTTCTGTTCTTCGAAATGTAGATCATTTCAACGTGGTTGTGGCGTTGGCCCATGAACATTTCCGGCTTGTTGTCAAACCATTTCATAACAGTAACAAGTAGCGATTCAATCATAATGTAACGTTTAAACAGCTGCCATAACATTATGTATCAATATGTATACCTTTTGGGATTCTCAGAAGCTATGAAAATGAAAAATGTACAACAGGAAATACCCTAGGACCATTGTTATTGTTTACGTCCCTCAAAATCGTGTCCTTACACGTACAAGCCACTAGAGGGCAGCTGTAGGCTTTGAGATGACAGATGCTGGGTTTTCTGTCAACTATTCCACTGTAGTGGCCAGGGCCGGAGTGGGACTCTTTTTCAGCCCTGGAGTTTCAAGCCTCAGACCGGCCCACCTCAGTTCACCACTGACTATATTAAAATAAGGTAATTTCCAATTCAGTTTCTAATTACACTATAACGTCTTTTTTTGAGAAAACAGCTCATTTAGAACTTCAATGTTCAACAACCCTTACAGTATTATGTCTTAACAATAAAAATGAAAAAAAAAAAAAATTGTTACTTAGACAAGGACCGAACCCAGGTTGGCCGCGTCATAAACTAACGTACTAACCACTGTACCACAACAGCTGTGTGTCTAATGGTGACTTATCTAATTATATCATCATTAACCTGCAGGCTGCTCACGAGGCTACGAGAAAATAGATAAAAAAAGCAGAGCTGCGGTAAAATAAAGAATAAGAAGGCTGTGGTCAAGTAAATAAATAAATTATTTTTAAAAAGTGTGACTGCTGAGAGCAACAGATTCTGGAACTAGGGACACCGGCCCTCGCGGCCAAAAAACGGACCGGCCCACCGGGAATTCTCCCGGTCCTCCCGATTAGCCAATCCGGGCCTGGTAGTGGCACCGTGAAAAATGCACGTACTCACTGTATGACACAAAAGAGTCATACTGGGACATAGAGGTGTCATGTTTCTCTACCTTTTCTAATACAACAAAGGCATGCTTTTCCCACCATTTGTTTTTAAAATGCATTAAAAACTTTTTTATTTTCATTTCAGTGATATAAATATAGCTTATTGGCAGAAGTCAAAACATTTTATAATAATGTTTATTGTAGTACAGTGTGATACATTTGAAAAATTTATTCCTGTGGTGCCAAAGCTGATATTTCAACATATCACCTTAATTTAGTTTCACTTTTAAGTCATTATGCTTATATTTAAAAAAAAAAAAAAAAAAGACCCCAGTTCCTATTGTTATTATTAATGTGTGAAACAGTTGTGCTGCTTAAAGGGAAGCCATCACTTATTAGCCATTCTCTACTTGTTCAAAACCTGTTTGAGTTTCTTTCTTCTGTGAAACACAAAGGATGGTATATGAAGGATTTTGAACGAGACAAAAAAACAGCCATTGACTTCTATAGTATTTTTTGCTGCTATAGTATTCTGTGGCTGCTTTTTGCTTTTCTTCAGAACACCTTGCTTTTGTTTTCAACAAGAAAGAAACTAAGAAAATTTCAGAGTAAATGGAGAGGAATGTATTTTTGGGAGAACTATTCATTTAATGTTGTTTTTTCAATTGCCTAGATATCTGATATTTCTGGCAAAATTTAAGTTTTATTTTTCTTATTTTTTGACCAACAATATGTGATTTTGTTTTTAATCTATATTCCATAACTAAACATAAATATCTACGAAACACCCAGAATGTATTTATAATTTAATCTTTTATGTTGCAGCCTTATAATTCCAAAGACTAAAATAAATGTAATTGCTACATTTAAAACCTGTGTGAAATGCACAATTTCTTTGTTCACAGTAATAGACAAATGCATTATTCAGATCTTCGTTTTAACACAGGGTTCCTACAGGTCATGGAGTTTCTGGAATATCATGGAATTTAAAAAAAGGTCTATTTCAGACATTAAAAGTCTTCCTCTTAGCCATCATCTTCCCATTACAGGCACGCACGTTAAAGGAAAGCAGGGGATGCGTCTCTATAGCATCCTTTCCAATGCGGCACCTCGCACAACTTGTACAAATAATTTGATTTTTAAAAATATATTAGCGGTGTGAACCTACACTGGTCCCACGGTTCTGTTCAGTTTTGATAATCATGCCATCGATTCAGTTCAATTCGATATCTCTGCATCACGATGCATTTCCATAAACAGTTTGATATTTTACTTATCTACACAATAATTCAATTAATTTATTTATATATTATTTGTAATACAAGTTTGTTATTTAATACAAGCAGTCAGATGTATGTAGTGTATCTTTAAATTTACCTGCTCAAAGAAATCACTCTTTTGAATGCATCAAACAAAACTAAAGTACTTGCACAAAACAACATGAGCATTTATGGCAAATAAACAAATGTAAATCTTATCCTGCTTGCTTGTTGAGCTTTGTTGAGTGGGTTCTTAAAGGCCTATGATTGATCACGCGCTCAACAAAAAGGTTGCAATCGGCTCTAATGGACAGCACGGCTCTGGTGCTTTTCAGCAAACAGTGACATGGACATTGATGTTAAACGGCCGGGGCGATTAACTGATTCATTAAAGACAACGACTCAGTGGAGGATCCTCAAGTAATGTTATTGTTGTGTACAATAGCCGTAAGAGGAGATAAAACGTTACCTCACAAACATGCCAGCAGGTCAAAGTGGCCACAGAGAGTGAGAGAGTTTACAGCTTTCATTTTTTTCCTAACTGGGTTCTGATATACTCCCCTGTCAGTAAAAGACTGTCCAGCAAACTCACAAGCAGTGAATTGTGCATAGTTATCTGCTTTTAAAGTAGTTGGAGCAATTTAATTACACGCGGTCCGCCATATAACACATATGAGATAATTTATGTCACTACATAATAGCCGGTTATGATTATTACTGAACCGATACCGAATTGTTCACATCTGCATCGCAGTGCATTGAAGAAACAATTCATTTTGACACCCCAAATACATACATATATATATATATATATATATATATATATATATATATATATATATATATATATATATATATATATATATATATATATAAAATAATTATCTTTTATATAACAAAATGTATATGTACACCAATGTACACTAATTGTTGTTATT